CTCACTTCCCGTTTCCTGCCCCTGGCGATGCCGGGTTCGGGCCCCGGCCCCTGCCGCGCCTCTGGGCTGGCGCTGTTCGCCGCCCTCGCGCTGGCCCCGGCGCGTCGCGCGGTGGGCGCCCACAGCGCTGGTGCCGGGAGGGAACTCCTCGCGGTCCTTTGCTTTTCTTCCTCCTCAATTCTCGGTCCTCCCCCTCCTCCTCAATCTTCCTCGTCCTAATCCTCCTCCTCCGCCTCCCCCTCCTCGTCACCATCATCATCCGCATCATCATCATCATCATCATCATCATCATCATCATCATCATCATCATCATCATCATCATCATCATCATCATCATCATCATCGTCATCGTCATCGTCATCGTCACCGTCACCGTCACCGTCACCGTCACCGTCACCGTCATCATCACCACCATCATCATCATCATCATCATCATCATCAATCCTCCTCCTCCTTCTCCTTTTCCTCCTTCTCCTCCTCCTCCTCATCCTTCTCGTCCTCCTGTAGCAGCGCTGTGCAACAGGGTCCCCAGTGGAACAGAGCGCGCACTGCTGTTGTTAGTGCGCCTGGCCGCCCCTTGCGGCTCGAGCGGTTCTTTTCGTGGCGGCGGATCAGTGGTTTCGGCTCGGGCTCATACTTCCCTCAGTTAGCCTCCGCCCCCGCAGCGCCCGCTTCAGGCCTTGATAGCGTCTCTCCGTGTGCCCTGGCGATCTCGACGACCGCTAACGCTTGCCTCTCGCAGAATCACGTCTGGGGGGCGCCCGGGCCGCTAGGCTCGGCGGTGATCGGCGCGGCCGTGAGCTTCCTGCTTGGCATCCTCGCGGTCCTGGCGCTGCAGGCGACAGTGTGTGGCTTCCTCCTGTCGATCAGGCTCTTGTTGGGCAATGCTGGCCGAGGTGCTGACATACCTTCGAGGGCGACACCAGCGCTGAAGGATGGCGCCCAAGAGGAGAGCTGCCAGGCGGGCCTTGAACCTACAGCCAGGGGACGTTCTCTTCGTCGACTTCGGCGAGGTGGGGGAACCCTGGCATGAGCGGGTGATCCTGGCCTGTGTCTCGGGGGCCACCTACATCATAGTCGCACCAGACCAGGACGTCTAGAGGAGACCTTCGATACGGACAACGTTGCGGACTTCAGGCGGGCAGGGCCGCGCAGCGGCTTGCCGCCCGGTCTGGGCGCGGCGCGCAGGCAGCTGGTGCACCGTTTCCGCGACAGGTTGGAGTGAGAGGAGTTGAACGATCTGCTGAAGGAGGGTGCGGCGCTGGCGGCCAGGGCCCGCGAGGAGATGGGCTTGCCGATCGAGGAGCCTTTTGCCCGAATCTGGGCAAAGGCTGCCGCTGGCGCCTCCAGAGGAGCTGCCACCCGCGGCAGGTCGCCCGCATGCGGACTGGCGCTTTGTCATTGGATCCGAGGAGGTCCGCAAAGGCGAGGTGGTCTCGCTACCCGACGTGCTGGACACTCCCTCGGAGTACTTCGTTGGCACGGGGCGGCACGGCGTCTACGACGTGGGGCGCAAGGGCCAGAACGCGGCGATGGTGCGCTTGGAGGAGGGGGAGAAGCCAGAGGAGGTAATGCAGGATGTCTTCGCTGGCTGCTCCCTCGGATGCGCCGATGGGAACGCGGACACCGCCTGCGACCCCAGAGGACCCGCGGACGTTGGCGATCTTGTGCGACGCGGCGGGAAGGAGGTTCCGCACCTGAAGGTGTGGCGGATAGGTCGGAGAAGAGCGACTTCGACGACTGGGTCCCGTCGGGGCCGAGGACTATGTGGTTTCGGACATCGCCAAGATGAGCGGGGGCCCGGTGCAGCGACGCGCGACGTGGAAGCACGAGAATAAGCTGAACGATGACGAGCACAGCGTCGTGACCCACGAGATGTCGTCGGAGATCTTGGAGTTGGCTGCACGCACGACCAGGCGGGCGCGGCCGACCTGGCCAGCCTTGAAGCACTAGCGCGGCGCACGCAGCTCATAGAACATAAAGTCAAAAGAAGAAGGAGGCTGGCAAGGATTTCGACACTCAGGACTACTACCTGGGCAGGGCGCGCTGCGCTGGCGGGGCGATCGCGCGCCCGGAGCTTCTGATGCGGGTCGCCGACTCGGCGGCCAGGGATTCGGCGATCTTGAAGGAGGAGCGCAAGGCGGCAGAGGAGAGGGTTCTGGCGCGCGCTCCTCCTCAGAAGTCATGGAGAGGGACGAGGCCGGGGACTGGCCGACCTCAGCCAGCACCAACCGGTCGCTGGGACGCACGGCGCCGAGGGGCTTGCCACCGCTGCCCACGGCGCGGCTCAACCCAGTTCGCGGGCCGAGGGCCCTCACTCGGCGCATCGCGCAGAAGCTCGGCCGAGAGACTGCCATCGGCCGCCGCGCGAACGACTGCATCGCCGCCCTCGACAACCTGCACGGGGGCGGCGACTTTTGCTCGGAGGCTCGCCCGTCGGAGGCAATGTTCAGCTGTGGATATGATTTGGGCGGCGGTCGCCGACGACACGCCGCCCGAGGACACCCCCAGCCCCGAGGCAGCCCTGAGGGAGTTGCTCGGAGCGGACTCTCTGGGCTACAATCCAGATGGCCACACGGCGGCTGCGCCGCACGATCGCGATCTGGTTCCATGGCCCGAGTCGGCGGGCCGCGCGAGCTCGCCGGAGGCGCTGCCGGAGCCAGATCGCCAGGAGACGGTCGACGGCGAGAGTTCGCTTGTACTTCAAGCTGATGAGGTCCGCCCTGATGCCGCCAATCTGCACTGGGATAAGACCCTGCGCAGCAACGGAGACGAGCACGCGGCCTTTGTCCAGGACCTGCCGCGGCATTGTCGAGCTGCGCACGCGTCGTGATTTTGAAGTGGGCGTTTTATTCGCGAAGAAGAAGTCGGGCAAGATTCGTTCGATTGTGGGCGCGAGGGCGGCCCGCCTGGCGCTGAAGCGGCCCACCTCGACCCACCCGGCGTCGCTGGCGGAGCTGGCGGGCCTGGAGGCGGAGCCCGATGACCAGCTGGAGTTCCCCGTTCAGGACGTCGCCGACTGCTTCTACCAGTCCAGAGCGCCGGACTACACGGTCCGGCGGCTTGGGATGCTGTCCGCTTCGGGCGCGAGAGTTGAAGGTGAAGGAGTTGCAGGGCCAGGCCGTGGCCGGCGGTGCGCGGGCCCACCCATGCCTGAAGATGCTGCCCATGGGGCTCTCGCGGGCAATGCGGCGGACCCAGCAGGCCCATCGCGGGCTGCTTCGCCGCGGCGGGCTCGGCGGCATCGAGAGCGAGCTGGCGGGCCGCCCGCTGGCCCCAGAGGTGGGCGCCCAGCCGGCGCCGCGCGCGGCGCGCGTCGACAACGAGATTTCTGCATCGCCCCAGCCCAGAGCGATCAAGCCGCCTCTTAGGCAAGCCGCCGCGGCGATGGCCCAGGTCGGGCTGCCGCTGCACGAGGTAGAGAAGGGCCAGAGCGCGGTGGAGGCGACGGGGCTGGAGCTGGACGGCATCCAGCTGAAGGCGCGGCTGGCGCGGGCAAAGCGCCGGCGGCCGCCGCAGGGCGGGAAGGCGCCCCCGCGGCGCGGGCGGGTTGCAGGCCAGGAGGTGGAGAAGCTGATCGGCCACTTCACGCGCGCGATTCTGCTGAACACGCCTGCCCTGACCGCCCTCAGGTCGGTTTACCACTTCGTGGGGCGCCACTACCGGGGGCCCCTTGCCTTGTGGCCCTCGGCGAGGCAGGAGCTGTTCAACGCGATGAACTTGCTGCCAGTGCTCATGGTCGAGTTCAGCTTGCCGCGGCCCGGGTTGGCGACCTGTTCGGACGCCACGCTCAGGGGCCACGCCGTGCAGGAGGCCGACGTCGACCCGAGAGCGGCGCGAGAGGTGGGGCGCTGGAGAGAGCGCTGGCGCGGCGACCTCGAGAGTTGGCGTTCGGCTGTCAGGGCGTCGCAGAGGGAGATTCTTCTCTTGTCCATCGCCATCGCTTCTCCCATCCCGCCGTCAAGGATCCAACTGGAGACCCGCCAGGCATCGAAGTTGCCCCGGGCGCTGCCGACCTTCCTCCTGGTGTCTCGGGAGAGCCCGTCGACGTCGGGGCCCGTGGAGATCTTGGGCAGGTCCGTCTCGGTGGCCTACCAGGGGCGCGAGTAGGGCCTCGTCGTGGATATCATGAAGATGATGGGGACCCCGTAGGGCTCGCTGGGATCCTACAAGGACCCCCTCATGCTCCGGACGATCTGGGGCGTCTCCAGGATATCTTTGGGCCACGAGGACGAGGCAGAGGTGGTGATCAATGCGCAGTTTCCCGCGTTGCCAGAGTCTTTCGAAAAGGGGGCACGTTGGAGGACCACACAGGCAAGGAGGCATTACAGGAGAGAGCCGATTCACTTAAAGGAGTCGAGGGCTGCATTGCTTGGTTGGAGGAGGAAGTGTCGACAGAAGCGACATCATCGTTCTCGTCATCTTTCCCTGTGCGATAACATGGGCATGGCATTGAGTCCTTGAGAAGGGCCATGCTGCCTCTCATCCGGTGCTTGCTCTGTCCAGGAAGTGGGCAGCCCTGAGCCTGGCCACTTTCTCTCGCACCAGTGCGCAATGGGTTGCCAGTGAGCTCAACCCGTCGGATGAGCCTAGCCGATGGTTCGACTCGCCTGCTGAGAGGGCGGCTGCTGCTGCGTTGGGAGCCCACCGGCGAGAGGCAGCTGAAGCGCGCTCGAGCGCGGGCCGCGCGGGCCGGCGCGCTCGAGCCTGGGAACCCACGGCCAGTGACGACGTCAGCGGTGCAAGCCGAGACGGTTGGCGCCGCCCTAGCTCGGGCGCCGCGCCAGGAGCGCGCGCTGAGGGGGCACGCCTACTCGCGAGGCGGTCTGCCGCGAGCGCGGCTGGAGGAGGCGGGGACCCCCTTTTTCGTTTGCCCATCGCAGAGCGGCAGAGGCCCAGGGGTGCAGGACCGCGCCGCGGCGCCCTTCATCGACGAGATCTCGCCCATACCCTGCAAACCAGAGCGGCCGCCCGCCACGGCCGCCGTTCGCGGACGCGAGGGGTCGAGCCAAGGAGTGCCAGATAGGCGCTGGTGGGCTCACCACGCTGGAGCAGGAGAGCGCCACCTTGAAGACCAAGCAGGATTACCAGAGGAGGTTGGCGCGGTTCGACGACTTCTGCAGGATCCACGGTCTCGAAGCGGAGACCGACGCGGGCCTCGAGGAGGCGCCGGTGAAGTTCACGGACATGATGTTCAGTAACGGGGAGCCGACCAGCAGCGGGGCCAAGCTGCTCGCGGCCGCGGGGCATCGAGACCCTCGGCTTCACCACGCGGGTCGCCTGCTGAAGCTGCCGCGCGCGGCGCGGGCGCTGCAAAGCTGGAGGCGCCCGGTGCCGCCAGTCACGCGCGCGCCGGTGCCCCGGGCGGCCGCGGCGGCGATCGCGGTGGCGCTGGTCAGCCAGGGGCTGAAACGAGCAGGGCTCGGCGTGGCGCTAGCGGCGGATGCGCGCCAGAGGCCGGGAGAGCTGCCGTCGCTGCGAGCGATGCACGCGGCGCCAGCGCAGCCACGGGCAGGGGGCGACCGCCGCTTCACATCGCTCGTGCTAAGGCCCGAAGAGGAGCACGCGGCGACCAAGACAACGGGTTTCAACGACTCCATTCTGCTGGACAGCCCGTCCAGGCCGTACCTCGGCCCGATGGTGGAGCAGCTGGCCTCGCGCCTGGGCCCCGCGCAGCTCCTCTTTCCGTGGTCGGGCGCGGCCTTCAATGTCACGTTCAAGAATGCGGCTCGCCTGGCAGGATTGGACGGCGGGGAGCTGACGCCCTACATCCTGCGCCATTCTGGCCCATCCCACGACTGGCCCACCAAGACAAGGACCCTCGAGGCCATCAAGCGTCGGGGGAGACGGGCCTCCGACCTCAGCGTCAAGAAGGCACGAGAAGGGCTCGAGGGTGATGCGCAGCTGGCCACGCTGGATCGCGGGCGCCAGCTGCTGCTAGCCGAGGCCGACGTCCACCTGAAAGGCGTTTCGCACGCCGGCCGCGCCGCGGTCTTCGACCAGAGGCGGCGAGAGTTGGGGCTCGCCTGACGCCGTCGACTGAGCCTGTCGCCTGCCGCCCTCGTTCGCTTGAGCTGTTTGCAGGAGCGAAGGCCCCTCCTTTGTCAATGCAGCGTAGAGGTTGGAGCACTGATACCCTTGAGATCCGCGACGCAAGCGATCAGGATTCGACAAAAGAAAGAGTTGTGAAGAATGTGCTGTCATTGTTGCCGAGTGTGAAGCATGTCCATCTCGGCGCGCCCTGGGATCGGCAGGGGGCCTGTTGCGATCGCTGCAGTTCCCTGGAGGTCTCCCTGATCTCAGCCTAACGAATGCTGATAAAGTGCGCAAGGGCAGCCGTTTGCTGCTGATCTCCATGCGTATTATTAGAGCCTGCATTAAGCATAATTGTGTTGCGTCGCTTGAGAATCCCCGCATCTCGCGGCTGTGGGGACAGCTGGCGATGATTCGTTTGTTGCAACGTGCCTCTTTGACACACATAGTATATTGTAGGTTCGGCCCTGCCTGGCGTAAAGCTACTACGATTGCTTGTTGGGATGGAGGTCGAGGCATTCTCAATACATTGTCGGCCGTTTGTGCAGGCCCAGCGTGTCGTTCCTCGGGCAGACGTCACCAGGTGCTGGAAGGTAAAGCGCCAGGCGGGCGTCTGTGAACACAAACTGCAGAGCCCTACCCTCCTCGCCTCCTATCCCTTTGGTCGCAATGTGTGCATGAAGCGTGTGCTGGTGAGCTCACTAGTGAATCAATCGTCTGAGAAGTATGAGCTGTCGCAGATAATGGCGGTTGGTGGCAGGTCTGTCTGCGCTGAAAGCGAGCTCGCTCTCTTCGAGTTGGCTCGCAGTCGTGTTGCAGCCTCTGTCGCGAAGCGAGCTTAGCAACACTGCGAGAATCATCCTGGCCTGATAGAACCAAGTGCATTGAGCAGCGCTGTGTATCAGGGTCCCCAGTGGAACAGAACGCGCAATGCTGTTGTTAATGCGCCTGGCCGCCCTTCGCGGCTCAAGCGGTTGTTTTCGTGCCCTAAGCCAGCCCACTCCGCGCCTCATCAATTGACTGCTGAATATTCACAGCGGAAGTTTGCAGGTTTGTCTGTGCTGAAAACGAGCTCGCTCGAATGAGCTGGCTCCTAATATTGTTGCAGCCTCTGTCGCGAAGCGAGCTTGGCAACACTGCGAGAATCACCCTGGCCTGATAGAAACAAGTGCATCCTCTTCCTCCTCCTCCTCCTCCTCATGTTTCTCCTCCTCCTCCTCCTCCTCCTCCTCCTCCTCCTCCTCCTCCTCCGCCTCCTTCTCCAAACACCTCCTCCTCCTCCTCCTCCTCCTCCTCCTCTTCCTCCTCTTCCTTCTCTTCTTCCTCATCCTCAAACTACTCCTCCCCCTCCTCCTCCTCCTCCTCCTCCTCCTCCTCCTCCTCCTCCTCCTCCTCTACCTTTTCCTCATATTCCCCGTCCACCTCCTCCATCACATCCGCCGATAGCAAGACACATGCCATGAACATGATGCACGACATTGAGAAGGTCATTGCAGCAATCCACGGCATGAAGATCACACTGGACAGCGGGGAGGTAATCCAGGCAGCGTGCGCGATACATGACGAAAAGGTTGGTTCGACGGCATTGAAGACAAGGGGTTTCATGGAAACCGACCTGCCGGGCACTGGGCCCGCTACTGCGTTGCACTGGCACCCCGACGCCGGACCTAGAAGCGACCGTCGAGTGAATCCATCAAGCGTATTTCTGGAACTCGCGGCGCTTGACGAATCGGCGCGTCGCACTCGGCCACAGGGCGCGTCTCCTCGACAGCACGACGGTCGGCAGCGTCAGGTCAAGGGTTGCCTCCTGGGGCCCTTCGAACCACGTTTGCGCCACACTCGCCAAGTGCTGCGGGCAAGGCCCAGGGAGTCACCAGACCAGTTTGTCCTGCGCAGGGCCAAGGCTGCCTGAAGCGCAAAGGACATCCAGTGGTCGAGAGTATACGTGGACTGGCTGTTAACTTGAACATCTCACGTACAACCACATCCAGGATGTGTGGCATTCCGTACCATCACATGCCAAGGCAGAGATTGGGTCGAAGATCGCAGACAGTACGACTTCGACATCATTCTGGGCCGGACTAGACGAACTCGCACCCGTGCTGTCCGCGGCAGGGTTTTCGATTCAACAAGACGAGATGGATAGAGAAATACGGCCTAGATTGTGGACACAACTCAACGTCACGTTGGGAACATGCTAGATAGATACTGGTATAATAGGACATCAAGATGAATACCGGAAGAAATACCCTTACTTGGTTTCACATCGTAGCCGGGCGGCTGGTCACCACGCGTCGAGAGCGTGTCATCATCATCAGTATCATCATCATCATCATCATCATCATCATCATCATCATCATCAGCAGCAGCAGCAGCAGCAGCAGCAGCAGCAGCAGCTGGCTGGTCCCAGTTTTGTGTGTGCCTCTGACGCGTCACGGAAGCGTCTCAGCGGTCTCCATGGTGTTTGCTTGTTGTGCAGAAGCGCTCCGGTGCTTTCACGGCAAAGTCTAAGAAAGTTCAGCCGATTCGAAACGTTGTTCTGGTTTAGGTTGGATATTGTTTCTAATTCTTAAGTGAGGTCGTGGGTGTTGCATGTGTTGTCTGTTGAGGCAGTCTGTAGACCCACACTGACTCCGCACCTTGCTGGACACTAAGCGCCATTTTACTTGACAGTCGCTGGGTAACTCACTCGAAAGGTTTATGCTTCAATTTTGCAATTTCCCTCAGACAGCCTGCATCAATGAGGAAACGGTTCTACATAATCCAGGAGTCTTGCACCCAGCAGCGAATTGTTTCAGCTGCGCTACCTCACCGTAGCACAAGAGGAGCATGTCCACATCTGCTCGGTGCTGCCTCTGCGGTTGGCGTGGGATCTGCCGACGGGGCTCGGGGGCAAAACCTATGGGCATCTGCGTGAAATGTCTGCACGCTGCCCCACCATGAGACCATGATACGGTGGGACGTTGGTCAAGGAGTGTGCCCAGGAGGCTTCAGACCCTGGAGGAGCCCTTCCTGATCTGATGAGGGCGGCTGTGGTGTCCATGCACTCCACGATTGGAACTCCAACGGCCTCCAGACCCTGGATTCTTCATCCAATGGTTCCTCATCCAATGCCCTCACCATACAGAAGGTTTGCGTCGCGCCGACCGGCGGCGACCCCGCCGCCGGCGTACAATTTTGAACGCCGCCGGCGACCCAGAACCGATCGATGTTGAACGATCTGACGTTTCGGAAACGGTCGATCGTTCAAGGTTGAATTATCCCCGCAGTATCAGGAACCAACGCTGCGGTCGACACGACACGAACCTGCGGTATTCAATGCTCTCGCCGTAGTTGCCTCCGCTTGGGCTGCGACCTGCTCGACCAGGCGCCATCGTTGCCGTCATCCTCGCTGCCGCCTTCCGCTTGATCAAGCTCCCGCTGCCCCTGCCGCCGCCGCGGCTCCTTGCCCGTCCTCGCCCCCTCCTTTCCTCTTCCTCCTCCTTCTCATCCTCCCCCATCCTCCTCCTCATCCTCATCCTCCTCCTCCTCCTCCTCCTCCTCCTCCTCCTCCTCCTCCTCCTAGCCGCCTGTAAGGAATTCAGGAGCTTGCTCGGCCGCTACAGGCATGCATACTGTACGTCCTCTCGGCGCATCCCCTCTCGGGTAATTATTTCCTCATCACACACGCATGCGATGCGCATTGTCTCGTACAATCCGCTCTCGGCAAGCACGGTTGAGCGGTTCATGGATCAGTGCAGAACTACGATCATGGGACGTCGTACGTGTGTGCGGCACGGCAGAAATCACGAACAGTGAATTTGTGAGATACGTGCAGTTACCCAATCATTGGTGTTTACGTATGGGGGCCAAAAATGCGAGATTTGTGACCAAAGCATGCGGAGTGGCCGTATTAGTACGCAAGAAGCATCCACAGTCATGTTTTCGAGAAATCTACCAGCCGCGTGGAGCACTACAGGGAAGGGTTGGGGGAATCAAGCTTGCCCTACCCACGGGAGATTCAGCATTATTCTCAGCGTACTATGCGCCGACACATGTGAAGAACTACGCGGGGATAGGGAAACGGATCAGTGACTGGCTGGAGTGGACAACGGACGGATTCGGAGCGCGTGCAATGATAGTGATAGGGGGACATCAACTCCGATTTCGGGTGTCACCGTGCCAGCGACGGAACCATACAGAAGACAATCGCGAGCAGACTCGGGCAGCACGCTAACATGCTCGAAAACGATAACGGGTTGCATTTTCGCTTTTTCTCCCGACTAGCGACTTTGTGATTGCTACGACGGTGCACGATCTTAGCCCCACGTTCTACGGCCCGAAAGGGGGGACCAGCAGCTTAGATAGTTTTGCTGTGCCAGCAGGGGCCGCACACCTCATCCAGCGATGCTTTGCATTGCACACCTCTGAGACACGACTACAGCTCATCAAAGCTAGGGGGCCAAGAGATCACGTACCTATCGCTCTCGTTCTCGATGTTCGCGCTAGACATGCCCCTCGCAGTCGGCCGCAAGATGCTGTACGACTGGACAGGGATCAGCTCATGTTGTGCTTGAGGAAGGAATATTGGAGGCAGGAGGTACTGGGTAACATCGAGGAGGAGCTTGGTAAGTTGGGAGAGGAGGAGTGGATGGAACTTCTTGACGGACCAGCACCCGACCGAGCGCGGCAACGGTACAGCGATGCAGTACGTATGGCCATTCACGGAGTGCCTGGAGAGCAACACCAGCGGTCTGACCCATGCTACCAAGCGCTACAGGCACAACGCCTCGAACTCCTGGAAAAGCGCCGCACTATCAGACAAGAGCTAGGCCCCAACATTACCGACGACGAGCTGCAACAAGTTAAGCAGCAGCTGCTGGAGATTACGAGTGTGCTGAAGAAGGTACGGGAAGGCTAAGGGAAATCCAGACGAGCGACATTGGTCGAGGAAATTTGAGAAGCCTCCGAACAAAAATGAGTTTGTTGAGAT